TTTTTTTTTTTTTTTTTTTTAAGACTTTCAGCGTTGCCATTCAAGGGCATTTCCTGTCTGTAAAATGGGATTGACGAGAAAGGGAAGAACAGTCTAGATCAGTGTTCTCACAAGTGTGGTTTGCTTACTCATCCATAAGCTGTCGCCAATCCATGACAGGAAAGGTGCAGAAGCTGAGAGTCAGCAGTTTTATAGCAATTTGACACTTGTTGAACACTGAGCATGAGTGTTGTCAAACTAGCTCATGTGGAGCAAACTACACACTAGTTATGCATAGTAGGTCTACAGCTCTGTCCTGTTGGGGAAAAAAGCCACCGAATAGTGGTTCTTTACCACAAAGTTTAAGAAGCACTGATTGAACTTAGTGAAGATACCCCCAGCTACAGGGCTCTGGGTCTAGATAGAGGATCATACTGTAAAAATGCATCTGGTGTACTAGTCCTTGCCATGTGTTGCCTTTTCCTTCCCCCAGCCGGGATTAAACACAAGAGTAGTAATAGCCGACGTGCGAGCGCTTACAACGTGCTAAGCTCTTTACCTTATCTCACTTACTCCATACGACAGTCATGTGGTTTGGGAGCCGTTATTATTCCCATTTGAGAGATGAGCAAACCAAGGCCCACGATCTCACAGCTAGCAAGTATGAGAGCCAGGATGAAATCCTGCAGCCTGACCTTAGCACCTTGCCAGTTACCATTATGTTACTGTGTTCCTTTTTGTTTGCAATTGGAAGGTATAGCTGTTTTCTAAAAGGGGGTGGGGTAGGAAATGTTATTAAAAAAATAAATAGCAGGGGCCCAGGGTTCTGGGAAGTAGTTTTACATCAGAACTGTTTCTCTTCCTCTGCCTTGGTTCTTGCTGGTGTGGTAGCCATACTGTGATACACCCAGAAAGGAACCAGCTGTGGAAATTGGAAACCCAAACCTTAGAAGTGGAACACCCTGGCTCCATATAGCATTTTTTTTTTTAGTTTATTTTATTGATTTTGAGAGAGAAAGAGTGCATGAGTGAGTGTGCGAGTGGGGGAGGGGCAGATAGGGAGAGAGAGAGAGAGAGAGAGAGAGAGAGAGAGAGAGAGAGAGAGAAAATCCCAAGCAGGCTCCGTGCAGCCAGCGTGGAGCCTGATGCAGGGCTCAAACTCACAAACTGAGATCATGACCTGAGCTGAAATCAAGAGTTGGACACTTAACTGACTGAGCCGCGCAGGTGCCCCCATATGGTATTAAAATATATATATATGTAAATTGTTTCACATGGTCACCACAACAGTCATCTGAGGTCCAGAGGGAAGGCATTATTCTTCCCCATTTCATGGGTGAGGAAAGAGCCACAAAGCAGCTTGATGAATTGCCCAGCTTTGTTGATACCCAAGGTCTTTATCCAGTGTGCTGGGCACAGCAGGCATACAATACATGCCTGTGGCATGGCCGCCCGTGTCACCCGTGGTGACCTACATGAGAGTGAAGTCTGCATACATCTGATGGAAATCCAGATGGTACGGAGAGGGACTCTTGTCACTGGCCCAGTGTGTGTAGCTGGGACTTGGCCAGAAGGCTAGGCACCTCTCTTCCATTCCTCTTGCCACAGGCTGTTGGCCTGCTTCCGTCCTGTGTGTTGGGACCATGATGGGAATGCAGCTGTGTGCACAGCCACCCTCCGTCTTCCAGCTGCCCGTTGCCTTGACTAGTTCCTAGCCATCCCTGTGATATTCTGGAACACGGTGCCATTTGCTGAGCCCATGTCTCCGTCTCATTTAAAGGAATGACAGGAAATACTGTGTTTATAGATTTCAAGATTTCATTTCAACAATTTAGCTTTCCAATATAAATATAGAAGTCACTTTTCCTAGCTAGGGAGGGAGGGCTAGCACATTCTGTCACTGGCCTAGTTTGGAAGCCGAAGACCCTGTCTTTGGAAGATGTTCTGACAGCATTCATCGCTGCTCACCACTGAATACAAGCTTTCTCGCAGGCTGGTTTGTCATTTAATCTCTGTTGAGCTCCGTACGGAACAGTTCCTTTGTAAAGACAGGAGCCGAAGGTTATGAATAATACGCCAAAGTAAATGCTGACCTTGTCCTGGCTTGCCGGCTGCCTAAAGGTCACAGCGCCTTGGAACAGATGGAGCCCAGGGAGCGGCCATTTCTGGCTCCCACGTTCCAGCCAGACAAGCTGCGGGGGCTCCTTTCTAACGCTCTCCACCTCTTGCCGGCCTGGGTGCCTCCTCTTCTCCCAGTGGGTGTCAAAATCTTCTTACTGTTGCTATTTTCACCTTCCCAGAGCATCACCTATACGACTCTTCTCTTGATCACAGGAGTTCTTAGAAGAGGGGGAAGGGTTTCTTCCCAGCCAGTGAGACTAAGTAGGTGGCCTAAACATGCCTCCATTCTCTCACCACACACACTGTGGGCGAGCAGTCTTGGTCTGCCCTCTTTCTGGCAAGACACTGAGCCATGCCAGTGCTCATTTTGCCGTTTTTTAGCAATTGTGGTAATTAACAAAACAGGGACTGTCGTCACGGGGGTGGTGGTGCCCATGAGTGTGCTCTCACCGTGGGAGCGGCAGAAATTGCGCCTCCAGGTTTGGATCTGGGACAGCAGCTACTTTGGTGGGTGGAGGAGGGCTCCGTTGGCGGCCTCTGCAAATGGAAAAGGGTTTGGTAGAAAGAGCACAGAATTTGGACTCCGATCACCGTGGGTTCAGTTCCCCAGCTCCTCAGCTCCGTCCCCCCGCTTGCACTGGTTTGCTCATTAGCCCTGTGGGCTTCATACGTGTGACTTGTGGAGACGTGAAGGTCAGCGCAGCAGTGTCTGATGTAGGAGCCGACGCTCCATTGGTGGAGCCTCTGCTTCCCATACCAGCTCCGCTCGTCTCTAGGAGGAGTGCTGACCGAGAACCTCGTTTTCTGGTTTGTTGCCCTTATGGTTTTTGTTTTTAACTTTGCTTTAAAAAATTTTTTTTGACTGCCCTGTTTTAGGCATGGTTTCCTTGCGTTCTAAAGTTTCCCCTGCCTTCCCAGCCCTCCCGAATGCCTGTCCTCCCTGACAGCCCATCAGAGGTACCTAGGAAGTGAGTAGCTGAAGGTTTTGCCATGCTTTGTTTCGTGTGTGTGTGTGTGTGTGTGTGTGTGTGTGTGTGTGTTTATAAAGTTTATTTATTCTGAGGGGAGGGGAAGAGATAGAGGGAGAGAGAAAGGATCCCAAGCAGGCTCTGTGCTACCAGCCCAGAGCCCGATGCGGGGCCCAAACTCTCAAGCCGTGAGATCATGACCTGAGCCAAAATCAAGAGTCAGACACTCAATGGACTGAGCCACCCAGGTGACCCTGTTTTGTGTGGTTTTGAGCTCCGCTTCCCAGAGCTACCACCGGTGAGAGAAAAGCCAGAGTGTCAGGAAGTGGGTTAGGGCGATTCTTAGCCCCAAGGACCTGGCAGACTCTGTCAGTGACTATGGCGGGAACAGCCTTGTTCATAGGTCCGTCATGGGGATGCAGGAAAGAGAGTATCTTGCCCAAAGATGGGCAGTTTTCACAGGGGTCTGGGTGTGTTAACAACATCTGAGTGACGTAGCAAGCCTAGGGAATTACCTGTTTAGAGGTTGAAATCTTGAAAAGAGGCTCTAAAGAGTGAGGGCAAGTTGATTTTTGTGAAGCCGTGGAGTGGCTCACTGATCAGTGATCACTGATCACCTTTCCAAAACCCAGAAGAGAGAAGTGGCCTTGCGGGTCTCCTC